CTGAAAGTATGAATATATGTTTATGTATAATAAACTTACAATAACTAAGTGTAAATTTTTATGTATAATAAAATTTTAATGTATGTATAATAAATTTATCAGAATTAAACAGAAAGCCCTTTCTAAGCAAAGCTCAAAACCCAGAAGCTGTAAAAGAAGAGGTTTAAAATTTTGACTACAAAAATATTTTGTTTTCTATATAATTCAAAAAAAAACACAAAAGTCAAAAAATAAACAACAAATTATGGGGAAATACCTTGAACAGGCAAAAAGCTAATTTGCTTAATTTACTATGGTGGGATAAAAAAAATGACTCAATAGAAAAAATTGGGCAAAGGATTTGTAAAGGCAATTTATATAAAAAGAAGTGCAATGGGCTAATAAGTACTTAGAAATTGTTCAACTGTACTCATCATTAATTAAATGCAAATCAAATACAACAAGATACTATTTTTACCAAGCTGTCAAAATTGAAAATTTTTGATATGGTATCATCAGTGCTGGTTAATGGTTGGGACCATAAGCTCTCAGTATACACTGTTGGGGAGATATAAACTGATATGAACTTCTTGAAGAGAAATATGACAATATCTCTCAAATTATTATGCACACTCTTTAATGAGTTGAATAATATTTCCAATTAAAGGTAATACTTATGAAATTTTAAAATAAACATTCTCATTGATACAGCAATTCTACTTCCATGAATTTAACCTAAGCATACACTCAAAAAGTATACCAGGATATATGAACAAGAATATTCATTGCAACACAGCAACATGACAAAACAAATAAAAAATACTGAAAATTACAAACATGTCCATCAATTCAGAATGGGCTAAATAAATTCTGCTACATATATAGAGTAAAACACAATAAAGCTGCTAGAAAGAATGAGGTAAGTCTATATGAACTGCTATGCATCTGTCTTAACCAAATATAACTGTCTTAAGGGGGAAGGAGATACAAGATGCAGATCAAACTGCATAACATTATGTCTTTTTTTTCCTGATCGAAATTAGGGTTCTATCAATTAGCAAGCAGAGGAGAATACATGGATATTGCATATGCAACCAACAGTGTCTATCACAGACTATTTGATTCTTAAAAGAAACTAAGATTCCTTTGTAATCCCATACTGGGAAAATAGAACCTGCAGAGTCTAACAGAAAGGCAAGTTAATCCTGCAAATTCCCATGAAAACATGACCCATGAGCTTCAGCCCTGGACTAAGACAGAAACCAGGATCTCTTCTGGAGAATCTCAGAGAAGTTGGTTTATTTATTACTCTCACTTCACCCCTATCCACAAAAACACACACATTAGAAAGGAAACATCATGAGGACAGGGTCTATTTTTGGTTCACTAGTATTTATCCCCAGACTAAGAGCTATGTCTGACACACGAGTCATCGAGAATGAATGAATGACTTCCAAACCAACATTAGAGTAGACTCAATGTAGCCCTTTGGCAATCCTGCCTCTCATTCCATTGGCTCCTCAATGAGCTAACTCTGGGCCTCTTTGCCCTGATGCCACCTCTAGAGCCTTCATCAACTGAGACTTGGTAATTCATTTATTACCTAGTTAATTTTATACTTTCATCCCTATTCTCTGCCTTCATGCATATAGGTTAGAGGAGATAAATGTTTATACAGTGTAACTTAAGCAATGCTACTCAAACTGCAGGTCTGCAATGAGAAAAGGAGCTTGTACTAGAATTAAGTTAGTGAGTACTTCCTTCATCTAGGAAGTCTCGCTACCAAGTGCTTAGGGTGTAGCTGATTTACTTTCAGGCATAAGCCTCTTATCTCCTTTCATAGACCAGTTAAAAACAGAACTGCCCATTACATTTTGAACAGCGCTAATTTAAAGTAGGGGCCTCCATTGTTCAAGTTCCAGTATTCGAGAGACTTTCTTTGCACTAAACATTGCCTTCTCCATCAAGTCAATTTCCCCATTGCCAGGAGGGATCTGAAGCAGAAAAGCATCCTGGTTAGGATAACAAGAGGCAAAGAAAAGAGATGGGGAGGGTGCCAAATAAACTTCACCTAATCTTCAATTTTGCGCATAGGAATTCACAGTCACTTATCATATGCTAGAAGCTAGTGATTAAATTGGTAACAGATTACCGGCTGAGTCCCAGGCAACAATAATGTGGTTAAAAACAGTAATTAAGAATGTGAAAAATCAGATGCAATGGCTAACAGTCCTGTTCACCTTCAAAAATTCTGCAGCCTCAACTATCTGTCACTTTCCATTAGATTTGCAACTTGGCTAAACTCTGGAGTTCCACCCCGCAGTACCATGTCACTTAAAATACAGTATCCCAGCAAGAATCAGAAAATCATGCTTTTTAAATCTCTAGACTAGCATTCCCATGAACCAATGATCCATAAATAAACACTATTTTTAAGTCTTCATTATGAAGCACATAGTTTCTCTTCACGCCAGTTTGGGTTGCCAACTTCTCTTCTTAAATCTTAATCCCTCCTACTCCAAAAAAATAGAAACATGCAAACAGAAGTTCATGGGGAACAGAGAATGAAATGCCCATCCTTCTGTAGCTATGGTCTGTCTCTAAATATTACCAAATAATAAAACTTTACAATTTAAAAAGCTTTTTGATACAGGAAGAATGTATTCTTTAATAATTCATAATTCTATATCTCACTGCCCACCACATAATATTGATATCTCTAATCTCTCCACTTTGATTTCTTCGGACCAGTCACCACTTCCAATAATTAGTTTTGTCTATCACCAATTCCTTAGCTTTCTTCCTTCAATATACTCTATTTATAAAACCATGGTTCCCAAACTGAGCAATGACAAAATTAAAACTTATTTTCCCTGACTCCTTCCACAGCCATGCCTTATTCCATTCTCATGTTTTCCCTTTAGGAAAACCCAATACTGAATGGCTCCTCTGGCTTGTGCCCTCTATCCTTTTCTTTCTATTCTGCTGCCTACAGATTTTCTCCAAATACTTCTAATTTCTCCAAAGATTCACAATGACTAAAGAATTTATTCTTCCTATTCCCATTTCTTTGTCACAGTTGCATCATAAAAGTCAAATAAATCCCTATGTCTACATGGTCTTCTAACAAAGTTATTTATAAATTTTATTGTTTTAATGTCCAAAGTAACATAAGTGATCAACAATACTATCTGTTGGTTTCAGGCAGAGCTGAAGTATTTTCAACTCTGACATGTAGCTTTGTTGATATCCGCTGTAAAAATTCTGTGAGTAGGAGAGATTCTGTCCTTCTAAACATTAAGTATTTTGATATCTATGTACCTGATAACAATGTTTTACACTTCATAGACACTCAATAAATATATCATTTGGTAGACAAGGAATTTTGCAATGCTTTAAAAGAATAACAGTGAAAACACATCTTAAATATCACAACCTTTACCTTCAAACATAATATTCTCTAATCCAACACTTCCACACTTAGAAACAGAGATAAAGGAAATTATCTTAAATATACATACATACATATATATACACATAAGTAAATACACAAAGATGTTTACCATAGCACCTAGGTGTTCAGCAATGATTAATAAAATTATATTCATTCACTTGGAAGAATGTTACACAAATTTAAAATGCTACACCATTGTAGAAGAGGTAATATTCTGTGGAAAATGTTTTGCTATATGGTTAAATAAAAAAGCAAGGTTCCAAATTTTATCTATAGTATTACTGCAATTATTTTTAAAGCCATCTAGAAAAAAAAGACTAGAAGGAAACACATCAGTGAGATTACTGGCAATATTTTTTTTTGTGCTTTCAAAATTCCTACAATGAACACTTAATGCTTTTATAGTGAAAAAACATTTTATCATAAAATTCCCAATCAAATTTTACTCAAATAAAAAGGAAGATTCAGACTATGTGTAGGAGGTAACAAATGGGAATAACTTTGTCTATGCTGTCTGTATTTTAGGTTTCTCCATTTAACAAACTTGTCCTATAGTACTACTGAGATTTTTTTTATAATGGATAACAAAATTTTAATAGCATACTCAAATATGCCATTCAAATCTGACCTGGATAATCGGCATCTTCAAATCACAACTATTCTAATATGCTGAGTTTTCAATATGTCTAAGGAACTAGCCACAAACTCAGAACCAAGGCAAATCTGAAATCCTGTTTTTCCCACTTTGTTTTAATCAAATCATTGAATTCTAATATATCTCCAGAGATCTTAGTAGGCACATATCAGTGACTCAAAACCTCTACAGTAAATGAACTTTCTGATGCCTAACCCCAATTTCTTCGTTTCCTTATGAACTCATTTTTTCTAATTCTGTCTTCAGTGTAACTGACAGCAGCTGCTCACAATCACTCAGATACCAATAGATAGTGACCTTTTCTTTACATGATTGATCATTACATCTCATGATCTTTCCATACAGTGATTTTCATTTGATTATAACTGGTCATCCAACAGTTCTGAAAGCATTCCTCAACCTCCTAATATTCCTGCCAATTATAAAGCAAATAGATATTAAATTTGGAAATTAATGCTTTTTGCCATTATCTCGCTTGAAACATCTTCCATTTACTATGAATTAGCTTTTGGTTGGAAGTAAAATCCCTTCAAACATATTCCATCTTTGCTTCCTTTTCCCCACTCCCATGCCAAAGCACAAGCATCTAAGCCATATCTTAAATTTTCCTGCACAGTATCCAATCTGCTTTTTATAGCCAGAAGCTCTCTGAATGCAAAGCACGACCTTGGCTACCAGCTTCCCCTGGCAATAGTTCGAAAGTTATTTATAACTCTAAAATTAGCGTGAAAGCGTACATTTCTCATCATAACTAGTCAAAACATTCCCATTTCATATAATAATGTGATCTTCCTTAATTCAGAAGGAAACCCCACATTTTAAATCTCTGATTATAACTAAGACACAGGAATTCAATGCAGAAATGAGAATTCGCTGATGTTCAGCTCTTCTCTTTACAAACTTGACTCTTACCTTTCTGTTTCTTCCTATGAAATAAATAGGCTTAAAATGCAGCTCCTGTAGGGAATTTTCCAAAAAGAGCTTGGGGGGGTGGGGTGAAAAAAGACTTCTTGGTGGTCACAGGGTTACAGAGTACCAAACTGAGAGGCAGTGACAGTGGGGCAGTCACTTTAGCTGAGCATTGTTCACCCAGGATAAGAAAGAAAGGGGAGGTTACAAGCCAGGGTGGGTGGTATCTAATCCTGAACTGCTAGTCACTGACCTCACTGACAACTTGTTACTGAAAATACTTCGTTGAAAAAGGCCAGACACATACTTTGCCTAGAGACCTACAAACATAGCTCTGAATAAGTTAGATCTGCACTTCTCTAGTTCCCTTCCAAAAGAAGAACCTCTTATATCTAATTAAAGCCAAAGGCTGGAATTATTGAAAGTGAACAATAAAGAAGGGAAAACAGGAGTCCAGAAAATCCTCACATCAAAAGATCAATTATGTAAAATTCAATGTCTTCGGAACCCTAGAGATGATGACATCAAGGCCATGTGTCACATCTGAGATCTTATTTTTCTTCTTCTGAAATATTACCTGTCTCATACCTTGTACCAAGCATCACACATTCTGCTTCCAGTATTTTTGAGGAACCACATCATTATCAGTAAAGAATGTAAACTGAACATTTACCAAAAGCTCAGTAGTTAAACCATTATTAAATTTAAGCCACCCCAAAAAAAAAGTCTTCTCCACCAAAATTTCTTTTTTCTCTCCATGACTATCATTTTTCATATTTCCTCCTCCCTTTTTTGATATCTTCTCCTTCAACATCTTCACATTCACTGAAATCTTGCATATTCCTGCCTTATTCTTTATCATTTCATCAATTCCTTCACATCCCACTTGAACTGTGGCATTTCTTTGGACATTACCATTTTTCTGACTTTCTTCTAACAGCTTCTAAGACAAGCAGTGCTAACTAAAATATGAACTACTTGTTTGAGTTTTAGCAGTCCTGTTCTTAAAAGGCTGAATTCAAAATAAAAAGAAAGCATTTATTTATTAGCTCTCCAAATACTCTTAGCACAAATATCAGGGAGCCAAGAGGAAAGGCAGGGTCTGGGAATTGTCAGAGATTCAACTGTGAAGGCAGTTCATTTTATATTATTTTCAGGAGAGCCTTCAAAATAACTATTTTTATGTACTACCTTTAAAATGTACATAATTGACAATACATTTATCTAAAGATTCTTAGTTGCTAACATGCTATCCTCCCCAGATTTTTTTTTAAGCAGCTTTTTCCCCCTGGAGAATCTAGGAAGAGTCCCTTTTCACAGTGAAACAAAGAGTAAGTTTTATGTCTCTCAATCCATCTTTTCTTGAATAAAGAAATCACTTGACACTTGCAAAATAGTAGGTTTTGTTTTAGAGCTTTAATAATGAATGTTTTCCAAACCAGGACTGTTGAATTGAGCCCAAGATGAGATATCCAAATTCTACCATGGTTTGTCCTGCTGTGAAACCACAATAAGTAACTTACCTGACTCTCCTTTCCATATACAAAATGGAGATGAGTACTCCTATTCTTTTTATTTGCTTTTCAGAGGATATGTGAATTATACGGATAAAAGCTGAACAGCTTTAAATTACACTGAACTCTTCAGAGATGTGATACAGATAAAACCTTCTTACAGAAATTGGTGTTATCAAAACAATTAAATATTATAAATATCTGAAATGTAATTTTAAAGAGCTTTCAGCAGCCTCCAAGATAGTATTTAGCTGAAGTATTTCCCATTATAGCCACAAGAGGTCCCTCCTAGCAATTCAAATCACGTTGGATTTGTTGAGCACAGGCCCCATGGTCCTCTGCATTTATATCGGTTTGCTGACAGAAAACACATATTACCTATGTCAAATTTCCATAGCTAACTATAGGGTAGGAGACAAAAGCAGAGAAATCTGGCTTTCTTTGTGTGATCTCTGAAGCATAATGGAGGTAAATAGTTCCTGTAAACTACACAGCCCTTGCATTTTGCATCCTGGCCCTCTTCCAGATTTTCACAGTAATTCTTTCTTGTCACCTTGCCCAGTCTTGTTCAGTATTTATTCTCCTTCCCTCTTTACTTGATTCCTTTCTTTATACTTTGCAAACTTTAAAATTTTGGCTCACATGCCTCTTGCAAGCAAACAAAGATTGAGAGTAGAAGAGCTAGAAAAAAAAAAAGAAAAGAGAATAAATCAGGGCCATTACTAGCAATTCTACCAACATAATCAAAAGTGAGTTTTTTTGGTTGTAGGCATCAAGACTGGCCCCAAACAAAGTCATTCAACTGCATGTACTGAGAGCCCCCTTGATCCAGAGCCCTGTGTTAGCAGCCAGCTAGAAGATTACAAAGAGAAAGGGGCCTCCAAAAAGAAGACAGTTTTATCCCTATCAGTAGCCTCTCTTGGAAAATAAGTCCTCCAGGGTGCAATATGTTCTTTATTCAGAATGGAGTACAGTTTCTTCTTGTCATTAAAATCCCTTATAGAATGAAAATCACTTTTGCATGAACGATGAGTCCATTTTATCTGTACATAAGACCTCAAAATACCAGCAATTTCAGGTTGGGGCTTTTAAAATATGAAATTTTCTAAACAGCTATAATACCTTTCTAAAATGAGATTTAAAGCTAGGAATAATTCCTATTTGTGATAAAATCTTTTTTTTTTTTTCCCAAAAATATGTGATAAATAGTTCTGGCACCTTGTCAGGTATTTTAGGTGAATCTAAATGAATTTTCCCCTGATTTGAAGGTCTTATGAACTATTAATATAACAGAAAAATGTTTCTCACTCTTCCTTCCCAACCATCCCCATTATTAGCAGCTAACCAACTCTCCTGCCTCACTAAGAAAAACAGACGCCATCTGGAAGATGTTTCACATCTTTCCACCATCAAATCTATAAACCACAGAAACCCCTTCTTCTCTACCCTCCCTCCTATTAAAATGCAAGAAGTGCCCTTCCTCTTATCAAAGGCTAATCTCTTTTGTGTGCTGGATCCCTTCTTTCCTCACCTTCTCGAGGACTCTCCTCCTTCATGATCACTTCATATACTGCATTCTCATCCCTTTTCCAATGATCAGTGCAAAAATATGCCATAGGATTTCTGCCTGAAATTTTTCAAACCAACAAAGCATCACTTTTACCCTAAAGCTCCCTGCAGTTGCTACTCTAGTTCCCTATGCCTTCATCACAATACTTCCCAAATGAGTTGTCCACCATCCCTACATTTTTACCTCTCACTTCACAACCTACTACCATGACTTATTTCCCCTTCACTCCTAAAAGGGCCATTTTTAAGTCTATCAACAACCTCCATGTGGCCAAAACATTTTGTCATCTGAGGGGATATCTCATTCCACCTATGGCTTTAAATGAGATCTTTAAATGAGTTAGGATGTTATGTGGGACTTCTCCTGTTGCCAATAATTGGTGACTATGGCTCAAAATGACAGAAAATGAAGCCACCTATGCACATGCCAAGGAATTTCCAGTATTTGAGGACAGACACCTCATTCAGGGATCACTAAGAAGCAGTTAAGAAAAGAGCTACATGCTCCTCCTCTCCTATTCTTTCTCCTATAATCAAGGAAAATTTCCTAGTGTAACCAAAATGCAGGTTCAGTTGCCCACGGGTTGCAGAGTCCAATTAACAAGAGCGAGGTCTGGTATAAAGAAGATGACTTTTTATTCCAAAGCTGGTTTAGGGGAAGAAGTACAGACTTCTGTCTTTAAGTGTGCTGCTTCACTTTTGAAGCAGAAAGTGGGTGCTTTTAAAAGGGGTCTTGGCAGCAATGGCATGCAGAGGAGGGAAATGCAGGTGGGGGTCTGCATAACTTGCTTTGGTACCTTATCTACTGGGCAGTCAAGCTGGTGACCACTGGTGCCTTTGTAGGCAGAACTAGATTGTAAAAATAGCTGAAACTCTCCAGTTAGGAAAGAGTTTTGTAGCAGGCATACTTTGAGGTGGTCTCTCATGGTCTCTCATGGTCTCTCCTGGTGGGAGAAAGTCAGGCTCTGGAGCTTCTAAGCACATAGTGGGATTAACTCACCCTGTAGGGAGTGTCTGGTGAAGAGGAGGTAAAAGGTTATAATTGCATTTCTAAAGAGCTAAGTAGGAAGTGGGAGAAAGGAGGAAAGAAAAACGAAGAAAAAAAAAATAAGCAATCTCTTAGAAAAATGGGGGTACTCGGTTATACTAGCCATAATACTAGAGGAAAAGTTAGTGAACCTGAAAAGTTAGGGAAACAAGGCCAACTACTTCCTCTCCTCTTGAAGATACCAGGGCAAAAGTGATGAAAAAAAATCTCTTTCCCCATTCCAAGTCCCTTGAGAGCACATTTGGTCAGTGCTGGGGGAAAGAAAGGGAGATTTAAATTCGAATGAAATGGAAGTGTTAAACTGGACAAGCAGGCCTTTAAGGAACTAAAAATGGCAGGAACCTACCTGATGTGTCATTAAGGAATAGGAAAGGGAGAGGCAGCAGAGCAAAGGTGGATACAGGAATAGAAGAAAACAAGCTAGTTCACTTAAACCAGTTACACATCCATATATTAATGGTTCCCAACTTTGTATCCTATTCCAGACCTCTGTCATGATCCCAGAGCAACACATTCAAACTGCCTTCTCTATCTGAATAACTAATACACATTTCAAACTTGTTCAGACTCAAGAGCTTCAAAAAGGAGCTCTCGATTTTGTCTCAAACCTATTTCTTTCTGTCATTCATATCCCAATAAATGCTACCATCACCCAATTACTGCATAAGCCAAAGGCTTGGAGTCATCCTTCATTCATTCTTTTCCCTCATTACCATCAGGAATTTCCATTGATCCTACTTACAAAATTTGTCTTTAACATGTCCACATTTCTCTCTCTCTTCTACCCCAACTATTCCATCATTTGTAACCATTCTTTACATAGCTTCTAAGTTATTTTTCAAAACTTAGAAGTTTAGCTCATGTTATTCTCCTGTTTAAAATTATCCAAAGGCTTCCTATTGCTCATAGCAGAAAATCCAAATTCTCTACCAAATCTACATGGCCCTGCATGATCTGGCTGCTGTCAACCTCTTCACCTTGACTCACAACATTCTTCCTCCTCAACTCAAAACACTCTCCCTTCTAATATACTGACTCCAGATATACTTTCTATTTATAAAATAACCAACTATATTCCCCTAGGGCAGTGGCACTTGCCGTTCCTTTG